TTCCCTCAGCTTTTCACTTAATAGTAAAGCAGTATGCCTGTTGCCTGTTAATTGGCAGCTTAGAATACTTGTGTCCATGGCCAGGACTGGGACTGGCTCTTAGACCAGCATTGGAAGTATCGTCTGGAATTTTTTACTTATGAACTGTGGTTAGCTGAAATTTGTTTTGGATCTTTGGATGGAGAGAACAGCAAGAATCTGTGTAAGTGCTGATGAGACGTTTTACTGATCTTGTGGGCTATGGTTTCTGTGAATTGTCAAGGAACAGTTTTCCTTTCTGCAAAATTCATCCTCTCAGCTATGTTTTGTTTTTTTCTGTCTCTTTATGTAAACTTCTGCAATTGTGGAACTATCTAAGTGTCTGTGAACCTTTTTAGCACAGTCTTTTTATCTGACAGATTAAGCTTGTGTTCAAATGCAGCATGCTTAAATGATATGCTTAAGAGATTGGTTTTGGTGTAATTCAGAAGTATCTGGAATGGCTCGGGAGAAAAACACCTCTGCTGTTTGTTACTGTGCTGCAGTGGCATGTAGGATGGAGCTGAGTCACTTCAGAAGTATACAAAGAATGTGCATCTTGAGCAATAAGCAAACACTAGTCTGTGGTGCTGCTGCTTCAAATCAGATTGGGAATGATAATTTTTTGGTTTGTTTAATATATTATGTTTTGTAGTGTAAAAAGTACAGAGACCAGTTCACAGATCAGCAGAAGCTTATATATGAAGAAAAACTGGAAGCAAGTGAACTTTTCAAGGACAAGAAGGCTTTATATCCAGCCAGGTAATGACTTATTCCACTGCTTTTAGTGTAGAATAAATTCAATATCCTTATGTAGATTTAGGAAACTAAGCAAGATTTTGCTTTTTATCTTAAGCAGGAAAGTGCATTTTCCTTGTTTGACAATGTCCCTCCATCGTTTTACTTCACAGTCCTGGAAATTGACCTCAGTTTGCTTCTAACTTAGATGTTGTTGCAGCCCACTAATTCTGTGATACCGAGTGCTTCTGTCCAGAAGCCATGATGTTTTGTTGTTCTAACCCCTGGTGAGCTGTTCACATCCTAAAAGTTTGGAGAACTTGTAGAAGGGAGTAACTCTCACCCTTTCCCCTAGTTTCCATCATGCTTGTTCCTGCAACCCATAAATGGCGGAGTGAACCAAAAGGCTGTAAGTGACAATGTCACTCCCAGGTGGGGAGTGCCAGGCAGCTCTGCTATGTTCAAACTTAGTACACTCAGCGTAATGCTCTAACGTGAAGACTAGGTAATTTAAGAGTTAGATACATATATCTTTTTGAAAGGATACTTTAAAAAAAAAAAGTGTTTAGAAGTAAATTTCCATTTTGGAATATTTTTTTTTTAATTGGAAAACTTCTGAAAATGTGAAATCTCTGCAGATAAGTTTTTTGGTTCCTCAGAGTTCTTAAAAACTCATGGGCTCCCAAAACTCATAAATTCTTGTCATTGCTATCTGCAGAGCTACCATTACTCAAGAAAGTGCAGTAATATCTAATTCTACTTAAGGAATGCGCTTTTTCCCCCCCATGCAATAAAACTGACAAAATAGAGATCTGACATCCTTGAAAGAAGTTGAATTGAACTTTAAGTGAATATGAGCTTAGAAATTATGTTTTTCTTGAGAAAAAAAAAAAAAGGTATCATCAATTTCAGGAGAGTTTTCTTTTAGAAGCCATGGTTTCAGCTGAGCAGGAGCAAGGCACTGTAAAGTGAGAAGCAGGGTTCAGTAGAGGGAGGAACAGCAATCTGCAAGAGTTGATTAGGGCAGTTCCATGCATGGACAAGCTCTGCTTGGATGTTTGTGTGGTTGTGTGGTTTATGGGGTATGTTTTGTTTCATTTTTTATTGAGACATTTCCTTTTTTCCTGTAATGGGCTCAGTATATGTTTCTCTTTGTTGCCTTCAGTAGATCACTTATTTAATGGCTGTATATGTTAACTTGTGGTTTGTTCCTTATTTGCTTTGGGACGTCTTTTTGCACTGCTGGGAAAATAGAAAGATGCTGCCTTTGGACTTTTCTAGGAGCAAGCAGGTTTTTTTTGCTTTGAGTCAGTATACATCTGATCCGTGTAGAGCTCCTTGGGAAGGAAAGAATTTTATTTATAACCCTGGCTTGGCACTTTTTACACCGAGACTGAACAATGAAATATTATAGAGCGAAATATGTATAGGATTTACTTTTATCCAAGACATTCTTAAATTATATATGTGATAGAGGGTAAATTTCGATTTATTTCAGTTTTAGCTTGTAAGTCATTATTGTTTGGTTAGGGACAAAGTCCGCAGGGAATCTACAATTTTGGTGACTATGGTTTCATAATGCTAATTAATAAAACCAAAAAACCCCAAAGCTCCAACGCGGTAGAAAATTAGAATGTTTTCCCCACTCTGCCGTCATGTAAAAACATTTCCATCTCTTTTTGTCTTGTATTCAGAGCTGATTAGCTCCTGTTGGTTTTGTTTTTTTTTTTTTCTTTTTATTGGCCTGAGGGTGGAGGAAATTACTATATAAAGTTTCTGATGAGTTAGTATGATAATGATTCATTGGATGTGGCTAATTTTCTGTGTAATATAATTATTTAAGAACAGAGAGGGACTTCTTGTGAGTACTAAAATACCCAGTACCCTTCCTTTTTTCTCCTGTCTCCCTGTGTGCCAGAGATGCAATTACAAAAGTATTGCTATTCCACATAATATATTGGTTCCTCTTGGGCTCTAGTCTTGGCAAAGCTTTGCATTTAGTGCTTTGATTGTAATTTAATCAAAGTGATTAGTTAAAGGGACTTCCAAACAAAGCGAGCAGCAGCTGTATTCACTAATTCTTAACTGATAGTGAAGCTGTTAATGTATAACCCTGCGGTGTTTCAAGATGGGGTGATTTGCAAGTGCAACAAGTCTTGACAAAGAGGTGGTACACATTTAACGAACAACAGCAGATCTTGAAGGCAAGTTTTTGTCTGTTACTCTGAAATACTGTGGAAGAGCAGAGGTGCCGGTCTTACTGAAGTTTTATTTCCTCTGTTTTCACAGAGACTGTTACCGGGTGATTTTAAATCAAAATTGATGGCATGTGCAAGGATGTACTTGTGTCTGATACCCGTAGCAATTTGGCCCATTTAATTGGAAAATGTTTCCAGAGCAAGGAAAAAAAAATCCTATTACTGTCTTTGGTGATAAATTTCTTTATTCACCATCACTGTGCTGTTAATGTACACAAGATTCTGTGCCTAATACACGCACCATTTCTTACTCTTCCTCCTCCTCCTCTATTTTTTCCCCTGGGATAATGTGCTGGGAGATATATCCACACAAGTCTGTAGCAATTACCAAGTTATTTTCAGCTGATGCAGTATGCCTGCACGGCACAGATTGATGCCAACACCACCACCCTGAGTGAACGGTGGTACCGACCCGAAGAGGCTCAGGGCAGAGCTCGGGGGGCTGCAGTTTTCAGCTTCTCAGCATAATTGAGGACAACTGCGCTGTATATACAGATACCACGTTAAGAGCCCTGTGCGCGTTCAATTATGTATTGGTCTTAATTATTGTGTTACACGCTTGCAAATTATTTTGCATTGCTGTTGTTTAAAACAGGTAAAAACTGTGAGTAGAGGTTTCTGGGTCGATCAGAGTATTCTTTTGCTAAAAATGAGGCAGCAAATTACTTTCCCTGGCAGAAAGTGTATCAAAGCTTAAGGAAGCTTCTGGCAGTGAAGAGCCATTGAAAATGGTATTTGGTGCATCTCCTGGCTCCGCGAAGCCTGAAGCAGAAAGTGATATGGTTTCAGGTGGTTTACTTCTTCCCTGCAATTCGTATTTAACTCATGTTTCTCTTGTCTTTTTGCTGGGCAGTGTTGGGCAGCCGTTCCAAGGGGCTTACTTGGAAATCAGCAAGAACCCCAAGTACAAAAAACTTAAAGATGCTGTGGATGAAAAGATCATTATTGCAGAAGTTGTGAATAAGATCAATAGAGCTAATGGGAAGGTAATAAAATGATATTGCTTTATCCAGAAGGGTAGATAATTTTTGTTACAAATAAGCTGAGGGAGACTTCGCTTCTGTCATGTAATAGTCTGAGGATTTAAAAAAATGCTGGTTTTGAAGGGCAAGACTGGAAATGTTGGATTTATGTAAACTGGTGATTTTAAGCACCCATTTTAAATTTACATAAAGATTACAAAAATTTTGGTTGGGTTTGTAGTTTTCAGTGACTTTTCCAAACAAAAATGGCACCTCATCAACTAGTAACAGGCTGTATTGATTCACAACTATATGTAGTCTCTGGACCAAACTTGGATCTTCTGTTTACCAACTGAAGAAAATAAATATTTAGAGAATATTGTTCTTGTTCAAGTATTTAGAAAACTTAACCTTTCCAGGTTCACACTGCCGTTCAAGCTTCTGATTATCATATATATTATGTTTTAAAGTTGGGTGGCATACTCTGCTTGCTTTGCGTGTCTTCTGATTGATATAAATATTTTTTTTTTTTGGAATGAAGAGGCAACTTTCTTGTGTCATTTGAATAAAGCTGTTAAATACGCTGGGTCCTTTTTTATTCTGCCAACACAGAACTTGTTTTGCATTTAAATTATACTTATTAAAACAGGAAGTATTATCCTCCCTTAGTACATGTAATTGTTTTCACCATATCTGTCTAAATATTAGAAGTAGTAGATCTCAGCTTCTCAGATATAGATGTCGTTTATGCATTTGTAGGAGTGAAATTAGGTTGCCTGTGGTTGATGCCAAGTTAATTTTCCGGTTTAGAAGAAACTAATTAAATGAAGACAAAATCTTTCCTGTACTTGCATAGTCTTCAGCTCTCAAGATTAAAAAAAAATAATAATAATAATAATGAGCTGTGATTCTATGTGCTTAAGACAGCTACTTCTTAATTATAATAGATAAGATTTTATTATTTAAAATTTTACAGGAGAAAAAGCTATATGTAGATTAAGTTCTCATTACTCTTCCTTATTATTTTCTAAGATGAATTTAAGAACACACATTCATGCTCTAAAAATATTTTTCATTTGAAAATATGAAAGTTTATACTCTTAAAGAATAATTCCAATAGATAAAGGGAGGAGAACATAACATTGAAAATACCTACGTGATTTGTGTTGTTCTGCAACACAGTTTTGGTGAATAACAGTAAATAGCGAGGCTGAGTCCTGAATTAGCTATCACTGAAAAGGTACGGTGGTTTTCCTGGGGATTGACAGAGCATGAGAAATGAGGTTAACCTGATTTGCATAGTTTCTGAGTTTCTATAACTGTGAGCTAGTAATTAAAGGAACTGTTTATAGCTAAGCATAGGTGCCAAAATGAACTAAGCTTCTCTATCTGTAAGTAGACACACAAATAAATTTGACCTGATTTTAACTGATCTGCAGCTTTCACTGAACATCAGATGTTCATGTTTACTAATGTGGGACAAGCTCATTAACTCTGTGAACTGCTTCTAGTTTTAGTAGGCGCTCAATGAAGACCAGTTCTCTCTTTGTGTAGATAATAGTTCACATTTTTATATTTTCACAGGCTACATCCAGGATTTTCTTATTAACCAAAAATAATGTTCTTCTTGCGGATCAAAAATCTGGGAATATCAAGTCAGAGGTTCCACTGGGAGATGTTACCAAAGTGTCCATGAGCTCCCAAAACGATGGCTTCTTCGCAGTGCACCTCAAGGAGGTTGGTTACAACTTTATAATACAATAATGTGACTCCTTTATATGCAGTGATATAAAAATTGTCTATTAATTATCTTGTAACATTAAATCGTAGTGGTTAGCCTGTAGGTTTAGAGGTTTATTGAACTTTGCCATACCTGCAAAAACTTTGATTAAAAACTACTGAAGCCAAATGAGAACAGTTATTACAGAAATGGCCGCAAGTTGCCCCAGGGGAGGTTTAGATTGGATATTAGGAAAAATTTCTTCACTGAAAGGCTTATCAGGTGCTAGAACGGGCTACCCAGGGAAGTGGTGGACTCACCATCCCCAGAGGTATTTGAAGGATGGGTAGACAAGGTGCTTAGAGACATGGTTTAGCAGTGGACAGGTGCAGTCAGACTCAATGATCTTAAAGGTCTTTTCCAACCAAATGATTCTATGATTATGAACGATCCTTTACTTATGCAAATCAGAATCCATATTTCACTGTAGCCTCTTCAGGGTTGGAGTTTTCCATTTGTAATACGGGCCTTTAATCTGGTTCGGATACCTTGTGGCAGTGTTTTCCTTTTTAGCTGCTCATACAATTCTTCCTGACACACTGGCAGAATATTTCTCTCTTCTTTATGGGATGCCAAGAAATACGCGTTATGGCACAGTTCTAAAGAACTTAGTTCAGTGCTATATTTGCTTCACTGCACTGTCAGCATTGTTCTGCTAAAATCATTAAGCTGGCTTTTGTATTCTAGCATAAATGGATTTGAAGAAAGTCATATATAGTGTCTTTTCATACTGACCACCTTCATCCTAATACTGGTGTTGGCAATTCGTTTCTGTTCCTTTCTGAAAATACTATGAGCTTGCTGCGGTGTAGCCAGAAGAGTGATACAGAAACACTATGGTTTCATAGGGCAAATGAAGGTGACCCTCCTTTAGGGTCAGGAGGGGTTTTTAACTTTCTCCCCGGGTTTGTTGTTTATTTGAGAGTGAATTTCATTTTGATCCTGTACACTGCATCCCTATTTAATTTACAAGGCAAAAGACTTGTTTCATTGCACTGGGAAGAGAAGACTTCTTGTAAAACCTCCTGCTTGGCTAGCATTTATATTTTTCAAATTCTAGGTTTTGGTAGTCCTAACTACTTTCCTTTCTGTTTCAGGGTTCAGGAGCAGCTGGTAAAGGAGATTTCCTCCTCAGCAGCGATCACCTTATTGAAATGGCCACTAAACTTTACCGCACTACGCTCAGCCAAACCAAACAGAAGCTCAACATTGAGATATCTGATGAGTATGTTTCTTGTTTGCTTAGAAGTGCATTTCCTTCAATGCAACATGCTAAAAAGTATCTAACATCAGAAAAACAAAACTGTTGTGTAACTAGTGCTTCTTTTCTCTTGACAGAATACTTGTAAATAAGGATGCAATTTTCAATGTGTACTCATTTCTAGTATTCATTTTGGCTCTTGTTTCCTTGAAAGTCATCAGAGAAAATGTGCTTTTTTTAAGGTAGTTTCAAATAGGGCTATGGAGCAGAATTGCTGCTGTAGAAATAATTACGAGATGCTACATTTGAGAGAATCATTTTGTATGTGACTGAAGAGTTCATATACTCCTATGAGTTGTTTATCAATTAGAGTAGACACCAGGTGCCAAGTTCCAGTGAAAACAACCAAACGAAATTAAAAGCTCCTCCCCAAACACATGTAATGATGGTGCTAGTAACGTAGGTCCATAAAGCTCTACCTTTTTTTTTTTTTTTTATGAAGGTGAAAAATACATTATTAAAATTCCTGTGGATGGTGTTTGAACCACCTATTATTGTTTTAGGTTCTTTGGTTGTTAAAAAGCTTTTTTTTGATAAAAAGCTTGCATATCAAATTAGTATCTCTTTCTGCTCAGTTCAGTTTCCTATTTTGGCTTGAAGTAAGGACTGTACTTGCAGTGTTTATAGCCATGGAATAAAAACGTTGGTGTGCTTGTGAACTCCTAAAGCCAGCTGAGTGAAAGTCCCTCACTTAGTCCACCCAACGGTGGACTAAGTGTTGTGTGAAGTGCCCCCTGATTTCTGTAGTGTTGAGGTGGTAGTTATACTCATTTTGAAAATAGAAGAAAATTTGGAACCCTGTAACAACAGTGAAATAAAATTTCTGTAGGCAAAAATTGAACCTTTTATCTGGCTGCACAGCACTGCCTGTATTCTAGAGTCATGGCGAGTACTGTTTGTATCTGTTCAGATTTCAGGGTTTATTTAAAGGCTAATTTTGTTGTTTCCTTGAAAATGACATCGCCATTTTCCTTTGTTCTGTTACCAGATGTGATTCAATTTGCTCAAGGGTGTGCATATTTAGCCTGTAAAAGAGTGTGGCTGTCCCCAGTAAGATTCTAGTTTAACGATGGCTACAAAGGAATAAACTACTTACTACTAGTTTAAGCATGCATTGCACTAGTCTGGACTGCGTGCCTGCCTTAGGTCTGGAAAACAGTCTTCTTTCTGGGACTCTTGCGTTTTGGTATGTGGTTTGGTTTCTTGTCTTGCAGATTAAAAACATTCAAGTGTGTATAGCTATTGAGTTTATCCAGACTAAATAATTTTAAGTCGTTTACTTCTTTTTTTAGCAGTTCCATCTCTGCTGATGGCGAAGCAGTACTCTCTCTTCTCCATGCTAGAGTTTAGATACAAGAACAACTAGGAATTGAGGAGAAAATGTGGCCTTACTTTGACTACTGTACACTACTTTTTGGGAAGAGAGCTTATAAGCTCTTTTTAAGTAAAAATGCTGTTGATCCAGGGGTATGTCCAGTAAGCGACATGCCGTTTATACATATAATATTGGAACAACGGGTCTAGGAAAATGCAGTGTTGGTGACAAGAGGTGATGGCTATAAGACCTACTCACGTTTTTTGGATGCTTGGATAGCCGGGAGCACCGAACAAGTTAATCTTTGAGCGCCTGGGCTGTGCAGCAGGAAAGCAGGACCGAAGGGCAGCTCGGCACAGCAGAGGCCACTTCCTCCCCTGAGCTCTGCTGTCAGCTTGATTTGTGGTTTCCGGCTGGAGAACAAATTCTTTGAAGTTTTTGGCCTCCGAAGGGCAGCACAGCACAGCAGAGGCCACTTCCTCCCCTGAGCTCTGCTGTCAGCTTGATTTGTGGTTTCCGGCTGGAGAACAAATTCTTTGAAGTTTTTGGCCTCTGCTGGAGGACTTTTTAAGGATGCTAAAAGGGAAAATCTGCTGTATTACAAAGGACTTTTTAGGTCAGCAACCGCTGCATCTGAGCCAAAAGGCAGCGGCTGCCCTGTTTATGGCTTTTAATCTTGCTATCCAGATCAGTGAGAAGGTTGAGGCTCCACAGGAGCCTGTTGGGTTTTTAAAGCAATTCTCCACATTCAGTGAAATTTCTCTTCCAGTAAAAAGTGAAGAGTCAAATCCAGATTAATTTACCCTGGACTGTAGGAAATATTTAAATTTGGAGATTGCTGGGAAGGAAGTGAATTTTCCCGGTAGCCAAGCAGGGGGCTGTAAAGGCCAACTAAGGATTAAAAATAGGAGATCTGCTGAAATACCAGATATACTAAATTAAGCGTAAACCAGAAGAAGAGCGCTCCCAATGTTACTACAGAAGCATTTAGCTTCCTTCCATGAAAACAGAAAAGTCCCTTTGCATGACAGTGAAGCAGTTGGAAATACTCGTTGCTACATTTCTGGTACATTAAAAAAATCTGTTTTAAACTGCCTTCTTTCTAAAGGAATCACAAACTATTATAAAAGGTCCAGAGTTACAGGCAAAAGGCAATGATTAAGAGATACAACCTGAAGGAGGCTCAAGCCATACTATAACCTATGGCTTTTTTTAATTCCCTGATTCTTATTAATAATACAGACCTGAAAATGACTTCTTTTGGAGTGATGCTCAGAACCAACAGGAAAAGACTTCTGCTCCTCACGTGTTTTTTTTCCCACCTTTAACTAAAATGTATCTTATTCCCTCTCCTAGGTTTCTGGTCCAGTTCAGACAAGACAAAGTGTGTGTGAAGTTCATCCAAGGCAGCCAGAAAAACGGCAACATCCCAACTTGCAAGCGAAAAAACAATCGGCTTCTTGAAGTGGCTGTCCCTTAACTGCAGCTGGTGACTCTCCCATTCACGGACTTGTTTCTTTGTAATAGTGCAATTTTAGTTGTTTGGTTTTGCTGGTTTTATCCCTTTCTGGAGCTGTTGATGGCTAATAGCTTTAGAAACCCTTGGCAAAACATTTGATCAATCGACTTTTTAATCTTTTTTGTTCATGCCAGAGTTTTAACCCTCAAAATGCAGATTTTTACCCAGTGAGGCATTTTTACCAGCTGGCACGTATCTGTCATACATGAACCATTCTCTTTGTTTAGCGGTCATATTTTAGTGCAGCATACCCTAAACCCACATATTAATGATAAATTACTCGTATTCCTTAGCCTAGAGATCCGCTTAACAGGAACTATACATGGCCTTGATGCTCGATGGCCACTCGTGCCCAGTGTCTTTATAGCGACCTGTTCTGGTGCTCTGGCTCCTTGCTTGCCACCGCTGGGGAGGCCGGCAGAACGGCGACCAACACACTAACTCCTACAGTTAACGCTAGGACCTATGTCATTCAATCTTTTGCTCAGTACAGCACAGGAACATCTAATTCTGCAAAACAGAAGGAATATATGATTATACAAGCAGCTATATGCATAATTTTATAGTAAAAGACGCAGAAATTTTGAAACAGGATTTTTAATTAGGTCAGACTTTTTTAATGACTTTATGCAGTAGAATTCAGTAAAATTAAAAAAGCTCATTTCTGTCATAAAAGCTATACAGTTCGAGGCATATATTCTGTCCTGCTTTTTTTCATCTAAATTATCGGTTAAGATTAGAGCCTGAAAAGGGCGATAGTATTCATAACACAGGTAAATGCTAGGTATTTAAACAGTTAGTTATCAAGCAGAAGGTTTGAGCCTTTCTTTTAGATATTGGCATGTACAATGTGCAATAAAGCATACATGACATTTTGTGAAAAATTATTTATAATACATTTTTGTGTGCAAGAGAGAGGATTGGTGCAGACTGCATAGACCATGTAGGGGTTAAAATAGATTTGTGTTGTTCATTTGCAGTTTTTTAGAGTGTACACTACAGTTGTCAATTTGGGAAAAATACTTAGAATTAAAAAATCCTTCATTTGGGGGTCTGTATATAAATTGGTATTACGGTAATAAAACTGTTCTAATTCTGTACTGTTTGGTACTCCTATGTTATAACCGTATTTTTGTACTCCAAACTATTTTATATAACTTGTGTGCCTGATGTAAATGCGTGCACAGAAAATACAATCAAGAGCTGCATTATAAACTTTCAGTGTAACTGATTGCACTTAATCTCTTGTAAGCCAGAAGCATTAGTTGAAATCCTTAAGAGGAGAGATGCGTTTTCAGATCGAAGTAACTACTCAAGTGAAGGGTTTGTTGGATGTGACTGTTTGATTTGTTGATGCAAGGACAGTTGAGAAAGCATTGTATTTTTGCAGTCTGATATAGGGCAGATTAAGACCCTGGGTATCTGATGTGCAGTGCTGGAAGTCCGAGCATAAATAAAGGAAAGATAAAGAAAAGTTCAGAGTCTCGTTACTCTCCCGGTGGTAAAGTTACGTAGCGCTCATGGCTGCCAAGGCTCCTCTGGGTGGTTCAACATTAATGTCGGCTCTCCGTGTTAAAAAGCCATTTACTGCAATAGATGTTCTGGTGCTAACGGCTCTCGACCTGAAAAAAGCCAGCTGGTTTGGGTTATGCCACGCTTTGCTTTGGGATTAAACTAAATGATTTTACTATGATTTGGATATAAAACTGTTGTTTTAACTGGTTGCTTTAATGTTGCTGTTAAAAGTCCATGCACGTGACCTTGAAAGGTGGAAGTAATCAAAAGATATATTTCCCAAACTCTGACAAAAAGCTGCCTCTTCCTTATGATCTTAGTTTGAACCCTTCTTTTAATAGTTGAGTCAGGTGAATGTTTTAATATGATTTAAATAATTTTACATGTATTGTAATTAGAGATGCTTATGAAGGAAATCTTAATATTGATTTGTAATGCAAAATTAGGATTCTTCAAAGAAATTATTCCATTGCCTTAAGAAGACAGCACATAGTATGGCATTTAAAACCACTAAATCCTGTATTAGAATTCGTGCTCGGTAAAGATTGGAGGGTTTGTAAAACTGTTGACTATCTTGAAAACCTTATGATAAGAACCACTAGGAGCAAATTTTTTAAAATTAATACAAAAGTAAGGAAAACAAACACTTGAAGTGTGACATAGTCCTGTAGTTGCTTGCAGGTAGGAAATGGGAGAGTTTAGATTAAGTACATCTGGGTATTTGGCCCATGAGATTAGGATAATGTTAGGATGTTTGACCCATTCCAGCCAGACCCAGTACACATTCCTTTTATTTTTTTGATCTTTGCAGCAAATTTTGGTAGCCACACCTGCAAAAGACTGGAAGAGGGACAAATTCCGCACTTTGATTTCTGTTGTTTCATTTCTTTTTCTGAACCTTTACAATTTTTACCTTGCATATTAGCTGGTCCTTTGTGATAGTTAGCATTTGACAATTAAATATTTCTCAATGTACAGAGCAAGTTTTCCTGAACATGAATTATTTAGATATGCTAGGAGAGTCATGGTATCTTGATGTTTAGGTTTAAGTATCTAGGATGTTGAAAATAAAAATGCCAGGTCACCTAGTTTTGTTGGTTTTTTTTTTTTCCTTTTCCTCTGTTTTCTTTTATAACAATCTATCAAATGGAGTTGTAAGGAGAAGACTATTCCTCCTGCGGTGCTGACCTTACACGTCCTTTTACTTGTAAATTTTAATTTGTCATCTGAAAGCTGGGCAAGGATCATTAAAAAATAATGAGATTTGTTGCATGATACTTTCTGGAATCAAATAAAATTCTGTTCCTAGACCTATATTCTTTCTCTCTATCTGTATCTTCCTTACTGCCATCAAATCTAAAAAGAGCAGGTGACTGGGTTTTAGTTTAAATATATGCAACAGTGGTGTGTGACTTGAAGAGAGAAGAAATTTTTATTTTGTATGTGATTCTTAAGAGGCAGCATGTCTTCCTCGGTGGTTCACAGGAACCTTTTTTCAGTGCAATTCTTCAGTGCAAGTTCCTTCCTCAGCAGTTTTCTCTGAAAATTCTGCAAACTCAACTTGCCTAACATTAGGATTTGGACCGATTCCCTAAGAATGGTATTAATAGCCAGATTACCCTGCTTTTAAAAAATGGCTTTGAGCCCCAAACCTGTCATATTCCACGTTTTGTCCTGTGATCTTTTTCTCTCTTTTTATCCTTAACAATTTTATCCTGATTTATGTATGTTTTTGCTCATTGTACAAATTACGGAAGAAAGAAACTAAAATGTAAAATCAGAAAAAGCATCTTCAGTTTTAATCCAGGTTTGTTTTCATTGCAAAATGAGAGCCTTTTTCTAAACAGTTCTGGGAAAAAGATTTGATGAATTAATTCAAAATTTTGATATGAGATAATTTTCCCCAGTCAGCGTAAATTTCACTGTTAATTCTTGAGCTTTTAGATCCTTAATCTTGTAGAACCATGTATTTTCCAAGTTCTATAGGAAGTGGTGATGGTTATTTTGGAAGATTGCACTGTAGTGTGATGGCGATGGGCAGGAGGGAGATGCACAAGTCTGTGCTGCTTTGGACATTAGAACTTCCCAACAGGCATTTCAAAGACAGAACTGGAATTGTTTTATGGGGCTGCTGCCAACTTACAACAATGCAGGCAAGTGTGAATTTTAAGTAATCTCTAGCATCTCTAACAGATGAGTTCTGGCTTTCCTCCTGTCTGGCTTCCAACCTTATTGGAGTATTTTGTAGCTTACACAGACATATGACTGTGAGCAGGGGGACAATTCTTTACCAACGTCTGTAAAACCCCTCAAAGTAATCAAAATTCTCTGGATACTGCTTATAATCCCTCAGTTTAAAATAATTACATGTTATGTCACTGTCCCGTGACCTTCCAGTTAAATGTAACTAGAAGTTGATGCCATATAGCGCGATCTTGTAGCCATTCCAGCAGAGTATTTGCTAATTTGAACTACAGAGCCATCTGAAGTTGTGTGACCTGATGAGTAATTTCAGGAGACTTCACTTGGGCAGCGGCATCCCCCCTCAAGGAGAAGAGCATTCGTGTGTCAGTCCCAGTTACAGTGAGACTTCCCATTTCACGACTAACTGGAGTGTTTCCTCCTAGAGATGTAGGTTTTTTTTTTTAGTGTATGAAAAAAAAGCCAACCTTCATTGCCAGAGTTTGCTTGCGGAGCAGCACTTGCTTCTGCTGAAATATCGTACGTACGGGCGGCCGCTGCTTTAAGCACACAGTATATATAGACGGGATGGAAAAGCCGCGTTCTTCCCTGCAGGATAGCACTGACAGCAGCGCTCGCTTGTTCAACGGCACCAAATCTCTCTGTTCCTCTGCACTTTTGATGTGGGGTATATTAGAGGATGGAGAATTCTGGTGAATTTACAGTTGCTGTTCCTTCTTGTAAAAATGTATTTACATAAATTCAGGCAGCTTTGGTTTGGCCAGTCTCAAAAAATTAACTGGAATGCAAGGAGGGAAAAGGTGCTCCTACAAATTTGTTGGTTTTAAGGAATTCATGTCTGGCTACGATAAGCTAGGGCTATTTAAAGGATTGGGGCTGTGAGAGGAATATCAAACTTAATCCCAGCAGGTTATCAGCTAGAACCAGTTCTGCTCCTGTTCCCTTGCACACATGAATGAGTTGGGTATTCAGGCTTTAACTTAAAATGAAAGTTACGAAGTTTGAGGGCATTGCAGTTCACCTTGATTATAATCAACTGATGAAATAGTGTCCTAAAAGATTTTTAGAAACACACTCCCTCTCTCCTTCATCCTAAACTTCTAAGACTTCTGATTGTGAACTAGCTAGGTAAAATTTTGAAGTATGAAGCACAAAAGCCTTTTTCCTGAATGGAAAGAAAGTTTGAAGAATCTGAATATCTCCTCTTAATAATTCAACTGATTTCCACAGTTGCACCCTGCACTTAGCCCAAGGTAAGGATCTCTTTGCTGTATAACATTCCGCTATTTATGGTCTTTAATTATTAGAGAAAAGATAAAACCTGAATATTCCTCTGGCCAGGGAATCTTCTTCCCTGGAAACGTGGCAAAGCACTGGGGATCTGTAGGGAGTCCTCCTGTAGGACCCCTTGCCCGGGTCCCTGGGACTTTGCTGCCCAGTCTCACCTTCACCCTCTAAAACATCGAATGCCTTTTAGGCTCCTCTGTGAAAGTGGGAGACGATGCTTTTTGCCACAACGAATGGTGATTTTTACTGGCCTGGCAACGTCCCTTCTGGGCATTACAAATCCTTTCCCCACCAATATCTCGGTGCTGGGTGCCGTTTCCCACCATGGCTCTCATCATCTGATTTCCTCCTGCCCCTGATGTTCTCTGCAGTAATAAAGGGCGCCATATGTCTCCAGGGTAAAGCAGCAGTGTATTCTTTTAGCTTATTTTCTTCCGTTACCTACCACTGCATCTTGGCACCTGGGTTTCAGCTGAACACACAGGAAATGTTTTATTTCCCTTCTAACCAAGAGCTGTTTTTAATGAGAGATGGTCTGTTCCCTTTCAAGGTAACTTGCTAGCTGTATCAGTATCACCAGTGTTTCCTAAAACTCTGACAAAAAGCAAAACTGAAGCCTGAAACATGAAAAGCTGCTGTTGCTGTGGGCTCTGTCTCTTCCTGTTAGGAGAGAAATCCACTTGAAGTGATACTGTGATGAAGTCCCTGCTGGCTTGATTCACTGCACACTGTCTTCAAGGTTGCTGTATGTGCTTCTTGTAGCCTGAAAAAAGGAATCCATCGGAATATGAAATAGGTAGTTTCTAACCATGGTGTCAAAAGGAGGGAACTCATTTATATTCGGATGCAAAGGAGCCTTAAATGGCTGTGAATGCACTAACGTTTTCTTTTACTTGCCTGTACCCTGCTATAGCTGTGGAAAGGGACCTTGACATAAGCTTAACCATGAAGAGGCCAATTGCAGGTGTTCAGAGCGATGCTGTCTGATCAAAATCACCGTAAGCTATTGATTAACATTTAATTTTTATTAATACTGTCCAGAAATTGTGGGTGAGCTTGCAGTGGAAAATCCTAAATGTTGATAGCATCCCAAACTTCTTAATATTATATGGGGATTGTGGCCTTGTGATGGCAGTTTCCTGAGTTTTCATAAGCTGTTCTAGGGTTAATGGAAAAAATAAAGAATAAAAAATTTCAGCTATTTCTGATATAAGAAAAAGGCATTTGTTTTAAACCAACAGCAAACTTATTGTAATATAAATGTGTGATTGTTTCCAGCTCACACTCAGCCCATTACTGGCACAGAGATGTTCCTCCTGACCGTCCTTTATTTGAATGCTATTATTTAGAAAGCGTTGTTGTATTGACTTCATGTGATGCCCTGCATGTCCTTGGCTCCTGAACACTGTGTGGTCCTGGGATGTGGGGTTTGATCCTACCTGGGTGGTTTTCTCCCTTCTGTTGAGGTGGAGATAGGATTTTTCAGAGAAAAAACCCAACGAGACAAAAGAACAGAATGGAAGAGGAAGGGGGACAGTAAGCCAGATCCATGCTCTGAGTTTTGGTCATATCTTCAGGCTCTTCTGTACAAAGTGGGTGAGGAACCCTTTCCAAAGAGAGGAGAGTGTCTTCTCCAGCTGCCAGGCCCCGG